TCTCTATACTCTGTTCAGAACACTTACTATAGACTGTAACTAGGGAAAGTTTTTGTAACTAGGGAAAGTTTTTGTTCCCTGGAGCTGCTACAATAAAATACCCTAGGCTATGTGCTTTATAAAAAAATGGAAATTTATTGCTCACAGTTCTGGAGGCTGGGAAGCCCATGATCAAGACACAAACTGCTGTTTGGTGAGAGATGGCTATGCTTCCCCACAGGCTGGAAGGTGTAAACAAGCTCCCTCGGGCATTTTTTTCCCCCCTGGTACTGGGAATCAAACTCAGGACCGTGTGCTTGCCAGGCAGGTGCAGCCCCACTAAACTAAATCCCCCTACCCTCACGCTTCTTTTTTTAAAGGTACTAATCCCATTCGAGAGAGCTCTGCCTTCAGGAGCCCAAAGTCCAACCTCCTTTTCCACCTCTCAATACTATTACTCTGGGGATTAGGCTTCAACATGTGAATTTTGGGGAGATACATCAGAGTGCAGTGGTATTTACATGGGATGTGATAAGCAGACCTGCTTCCTGCCTGATGGGAGGTCACGATAGTAGAGACCAGACCTCTTCTGTTCCTCGTTGGGTTTCAAATCCCTGATATAGCGCCTGGTCCACAGCAGACACTTTGGAACTTTTTACATTTTCCAGTCAATGCATTAAGCAAGTTAATTCTTTCCAATTACTCTGTTTTTCTCTGCTGCACTGTTTTTATGTTCTGCTGCTGTGGAACTTCAGTTTGCTTTTACTATGTTTTCAGACAGTTTCCAAAGCAAATCACCTGCTTATCCATATTTCCTATTTAACATTCTCTAGATAGAGCATTTAATTAGTGTAGGTCAGTATTTTTTAAATTTTTCAAGGATGAAGTATAATCAGGGAACAAAGTAAAAATACCAGCTCCTAGTCCATTCCCATCTGAATGGATTTAGCAGGTGAGGCTGGGGGTCTCGGACTCTGAATTTTACCAATTAGACAAGCTAAGTATGGAAACCTCTGGATAGTCTTTTCATGAATTCTCAGACCGTGGGTGGTTGTTTTGATGAAGAAGTCCAGCGCTTATCCGGTGAAGTTACTGGTTCTGGGTGAGAAGAACAAAATCTGGCTGCCCCGAGGAGCCTTTAAATTCCAGTTATAGCACAGCTAATACTTCCACAGCAAAGCTTGATGGCCCTGCTGTACAGGTTTTACATCATCTTCATCTCATCTTCTGGATCACCAGGATCCTAGGAAACGCGAAGGTTTGTGGGCTACCGCGCCTTGGGTCAAGGAGGGGGGGCGCACACTTGACCACAGAATGTCCCCTATTAACCCCACACATGCTGCATAAGGAGGAAAGGTCAAGGTCCCATCCACTTTCAATTTGCCATCCATAATTTCATGATTTAAGTCTTGTAAATACCTCGCTTAACGGGTTTCTCTGAGTCCAGTAAAATACAGAATTTAAAAAAGTATTTTAAAAAAAACATCGATTTTGACCACCTAGCTTACCTGGGTTAGTTCTCGGAGACAAGTACACGGATACATTTAATTAGAACCCGAGTTACCAGAGGCTTGATTACTTTTTAGGGTAAACAGAACCCCTGCTACACGACTTAAAATACTACTTTTCCACGATTTGTAAACTAGTTAAGTCCAAGACGATACAGTTCTCTAGAGGCCTCGTTCCGGCCTTCCTGCCGAGCTACTTTACCTTCCTTCACGTTTTATGAGCAACAGCATCCCTTGGGGGCACAGGGCTTTCAGAGGCAGAGGGCTTCTCGATATCGCGCCGGTGGGACGCGTCTCGGAGACTGCTTTGGTCGACAATGACATTCGGCGACGGGCAGCGCCCAAGGCTACAGTGCCCAGGCGCCCATCTGCTAGGCGCCGCCCGAAGAGCTTTTCACGCGAGCCAGGGGCGTTAGGCACGCGCCCGAGGGCTCCGGCCAGGAGCCGCGTCCTCCCGAGGCCCCAACGGACCAGAGGGCGACAAGTGACGCCCGGCCTCCCGGCCCTTTCCACACTAGCAGCGTTTCTAGGCCATGCTCCCGCTTCCGGCAAGACATACGGCCAATCGTAGTGCCCGAAAGTGTAAGACCCGCTCACCGCGCGATACAGCAGCCAATCCGGTTGCTCGTTGCTTTCTTCCAGTACGACTCCCGCAGGAATTTGGCCAATCGTTCCGGGCGTCCTCCTCCCGCCTCGGGCTGTCGTCTGCCCTTCACCCCGGCAGCGCACTTCCGCCTCGCCGCCGTGACGTATGCAGCCTGCCGCCCGGCGGGGCGGGCCAATGGCG